TGCATCATGATGCTGCTGTATTATGCCTGTGTGTTATCTATCTATATCTTTGTTTTTAACCTGAATCTAATATGATCACCTTAGAAGCCTCAACTACCTGCTGTTAAATCTTCTGTTATGAGAGAGAGAGCCAGTCAGAAGGAAGCTGACTTAAAGTGAATGAAAAGGGAGGGAGTGAACTGAATGACTGCACCGAAGCCCAAGTAAGATAAATAAGGACTATTCTGAACAGTTGCTCATGCAGAACTACTTTAGTAGACCAGCTGGAGAGGAGCACAATAGGCCTCCTGTAAAAGCTTCCAACACTGAAAATATATTTGATGATTATTTTAATCCTAGAAACGCGAAACGTTTATTGTTTTATGCAAAACGAACTTATAGCAGTCATATAAAACTCTTATCTGAATTGAGAATCGACTCACTGGCTGGAAACACACACACTTGTGTTTCCAATGCACACACTAACACCCTATTCATTTTAATCACCTCAGAGATCTATAATGCCTCCATCCTTCTCTCTAATTTCATCATCAATTACTATTTCGCACTCATTCTCTCTTTTGTCACTGGCCTTGTCCTTCTCACCTGTGTGTCTGCCAGGGACACGTGTGGTGAGACCGGCTGTAAACGTGACAGTAATGGCAAAAGGCTCGCTCGCCGGCTGCTTCCCAGTGCGACGTAACCAAGGCTGCCTGTCCCAGGCTTCCTTAGGTTACAAAGTTAACCGAGAAGGATTGTTTTTGACAACAACTGACATTCAAATACACAACAGGAATTTGATCAGCACTGCACCAACCAATAATAAATCATTAATTCATAAGGTACCACTCATGAATATTTAAGTCGACACCCTTAAAAAGCTGAGTTCAGAACTTTTTAAAGAGTGCTTATTGTGTGTGTGTGTGTGTGTGTGTGTGTGTGTGTGTTTAATAAGTGAGTCAATGCAGCAGAGGAGTTCTAGGTCAGCTGATTATGGTTTGATGAGTACTTTGAAATAGATAACTTCATTTGTCCAATAGTGCTTCCTGCACTGCTGAAGCTGCTGGTAACCATTAGCAAATGAAGCTAATGATCCACTCAGCAGTATTTTAGTACCCCCACTGACCTCCCTCCCTCTCTCGTTCTTTTTCCATCTTTTTCTCCGAGTGTGAAAGTGTGGATGTCTGTCGATTATCGACCCACGATATACTGAAGAGGTTAGCAACAGGACACCAACATCCTCAGTTCATCTTCAGTTTGTGATTACCTGCAATCAGGTTGTACTGGAACACCTGCTGGGATGCTACACGACATATTTGAGGATGTCTCATGTGTAATATATGAAGCAGCTAAAGTCCAAAACCTTTGAAAGGCCTTCAGTAAGCCTGCAGAACTATTGCTCGGGACCACTTTGAGAAAATTACGAGAAAGTCTTGCTGCTTGTAAGCAAAACGTAACAGGGTTTGTAGTGTATCTTCACTGACCTGGACATGCCTGGACATTACAGTCCTGATACTCCACAGGCGAGCCGCGGCAGGCCACGGGGGCACTCTTCCCCTCTGGGCCAGAGCAGGTTCGCCGACGGGTGCGATAACCTTTTGCGCAACTGTGTGAGCAGCTTGACCAGGTCTCCCATGATGACCAGCCTGTGCCCGATACTCTCACCACTGGAGTCTTGAGGAGTTCTTCGACAAGGGCTAAAGAGAGAAGAAAAATAGGGGTAAGAAAATGGAAATGAAGTTCCAGTTTAAAGAAATGTCTGCTGCGCTGTTAGATTGAGATCTTAAAGAATTTCACCAGACACACGGAGCATGAAAACTCTTTGACTGAAAGTCAAACATTGTGTACATGACTTTGCCAGGAGGCATATTTCTTTCTCTTCTCCTTTCAGACTCGGTCCGTGTCTCTCATGCATCCTGCGATTTCCTGCTGTCAGTGTTTCATCAGTTTGTCAGAGTCGATGTGGCCCCCCCAGGAGGCTGACACGGAGAGACAGGTAATCGATTTAGGGAAGGGGGCATTAAAAAGCCACCAGTGGGGAGCAGTGGACTGTGGCCCTGTGCAACTCTCTGTGTGACGGTGTGTATGTGGGAGCACAGGACTGTGACTCCGTCACTAACAGCATGTAGGGGAGCTAACAGGAGGGCTGTTTCAGCATGTCACAACTCTCCTGGGAGAAATCTTTGCATGCTGCTGCCTTCTCACTTGTTCACAGAGAAGTAGACCAATTTGTCTGAACTACAGTGCTATGTGTGTACACATAAACAAAGATCCAAATATAGCCAGAAATTGCTATCCTACTGGAACTATTAAATATATAAACAACACTTAAATTTGGCTTTTGATTATCTGCACATTTTCTGTTGTCTCTTTTTAAATATCAGAGAGAGCTGAAAAAAGCAACATGCTTTCAGTGTTATAGGTTGAAAGATTATATAAAAACCTGTCAGGATGCTGTTAATCATGTGATTTGAGAGGGGACTAACCTGCACCTCCTTTGGACTCGTATTTTCATGCTTTAGAGGCTCTAACAAGAGTAACAGGCCGATCCCATTTCGTTTTAGATCAGATCTCATAAAATATTTAAAGTAGCATAAAGAGGAACAGAAGTCAGCATAGAAAGCTGGATGTCACGGTGCAATGGGTTAAGTAGAGCATTTTTACCTGGGAGAGCAGGTTTTAAATCCAAAAGTCAGCATTGACTTACTTTAGTGTGTATGCCTGAGCTTGTGTGAGGGCCTTAGCACAGATAAGAGAGAAGGCAGGAGCAGGATGTCTATTTTCATTGACGTTTTTACTGGTTAATCTATAGAGAACATTGATTTGTTCAGGCAGCTGAACCTAAAGGTGGAGATCGGAGCATTTGTTTTTATAGCGCTGCACCACTACAGAGCTTACAGTGCACGATATATGATTACAACACATGGACATCATTACACAGAAACAGATGATCCACAAATAAATAACAGAGTAATAGATAACCGTGTTATGTTCAGTTAAGTTATATAAGCGAGTTGTCACGTAACAGCCCTTTGAAGGCATCCCAGCGGCAGCAAAGGAGGAGAGATTGTGGTATATAGAAAAGCGATGCATTTCGAGCCTACACTTGATAATGTGAGAGCCCACCTCCCAAACCTGCAAAGGCAGCCTATTTCAAAGGAGGAGAGCTCGGTGAGCAAAGGCTCTATCCTGTAGCAAGCAACATCAGCGAGTGTAATCGACAGATTGGAGTACACACTGGAACAAAGCACTAAAGGTAGATTTGTGTGCCATTCGTGGACAGATTGCTGAGTGGTGGTACTCAACAGAAGCCCAGGTTGTGAAGGGGTCAAATCCTCAGTGGGAATGTAGTGTTAAGTTTTGTGCAGAGAGCACAAAAAAAATCATTTACTTGACTGTTGTTACACGATTGGAGCTACTAGAAGAATATCTGCTGCAAAATGCATACAGTAAAACTGCATGTTGAATGTCCTGTAACCCATTATCTGATAAGAGCTCATAAATGTTGTATTTACATGGTCACTGTTTCACATTATTTTGGAAGACATAGCTGTTTCCATGTTTAATCTTTAAGAAAGTAAGAAACAGTTAAGCCCATTTCCCAGCCAAACATTATCATGAATATAAGATAGATGGCAAAGTACTATGGACATGTCAACAAACCACAGAATGGCAGCAATTCAATTCAATTCAATTCAATTCAATAAATTTTATTTATATAGCGCCAAATCACAACAAAAGTTGCCTCAAGGCGCTTCATAGATACAGAGAAAAACCCAACAATCATATGACCCCCTATGAGCAGCACTTTGGCGACAGTGGGAAGGAAAAACTCCCTTTTAACAGGAAGAAACCTCCAGCAGAACCAGGCTCAGGGAGGGGCGGGGCCTTCTGCTGTGATTGGTTGGGGTGAGAGAAAGGCAAAGGCTTGCTTGGAAGCAGTTACATGACAATGATCCAGTATAAAAACGAATGCTATCAATTCAACAATTAATCAGTTTAAGATCTGATGGTGTTTTAACTACAAATAGTAAAAGCAAAAGCAGTTAATTTAAGCTATAAAAGTTATATGACAAACCACAAGCCCCGAGCTGGGAAAAGGGTTGCTCCTCAGTGCCAGCGCTGAAGGAAAACAGCAATAGTCACAATTGTGGAGCTACTTAGATATCATTGCCAGTATGTGAACTTTATTTGATGCTAGGTTTTCCTCTGAACCCAAGGTGACAGTACTGTAAAATGTGACAATAAAACTCTACAGACAACAATGGTTAACTTACTATCTGTCTCGCAGGCCACGGTGCCATCGTTAGGACAGAAGCGCGTCTCCACCTTCTTCCGTCCAATCTGCAGCTCGTGAGGATCAGACAGGTGGGCCCTGCACATGTAGCGCATCCTCTGCTCTTGACGAGCTCCACCCTGAGTGACATTGACGGGCATCCAGGGTGTCCAAGGTGTGTTCCTCTTCACCTCTGGACAAGCCTCCAGGTTACAGGCCTTGTACTCCTGAGAAAGAAAGCGGTGGAAGCTTTGAGTTTGGTGGGGTTTGTTTCTTCCATTGTTTCTGCCTGTACAGACTGAAGCTAAAAAAGGTTATAACAACAAAAACAAAACACTGTGTGCATGGGTGCACTGAAAAACTGACACGGAAATGAAAATTGTTCCTCTTCTTTCTGTGAAAACTAAACTGCAGGTGCTTCCCAAAAAACTGTGGAGATGGAACAATTTCCTGTTATTTTTCACACAAAATAAGGACAATCGGGGATTTCTTTTGTGAATAAAAAGGGAAGACAAACTGGTTTTCTTCCCAGTTAGGAGGACTTGCCTTGCCCTACCTCTATAATAATGTTATTCCCCAGAAAGTTTTCATTAATGTATGATATTTAATAACTCATAAACCACTGTAAAAACAAAAAAGAATCATACATTTATATAGCAGATACATAGTGAAACAGCAGGAATGTGAACGGGTTCTTTTTCAATAGTAAAAGCTGTAAAACCTTTGAAAAGACGTTAAAAGTTTGAAATCTGTGCACATTCCTAAAGCCGTCCAGCGGGCTTGACTGGAGTCTTTGCTGGATCGATTGTAGGCCCTGGGCCTTATGTTTGACACCCCTGATTTATTCCACTGCTCTCTTAAAAATATCAGATGTGCAGCTGTATAACATTTAGTTTTTAAATTATTGGTTCCATTGTTGTTTTGTGTTATTCAATTCAATTCAATTCAATTTTATTTATATAGCGCCAAATCACAACAAAAGTCGCCTCAAGGCGCTTCATAGATACAGAGAAAACCCCAACAATCATATGACCCCCTATGAGCAGCACTTTGGCGACAGTGGGAAGGAAAAACTCCCTTTTAACAGGAAGAAACCTCCAGCAGAACCAGGCTAAGGGAGGGGCGGCCATCTGCTGCGACTGGTTGGGGTGAGAGAAGGAAGACATGTGTTATGTGAGCAGATGTTTATGTGAGTGCGTGCGTTTCCTACCAATGCACATCCTGGGCAGCTGTTGCCATTCTCGCAAGTGCGGACCCTGGAGTGGACGCCTCCACCGCACTCGGTGCTGCACTTTGTCCAGGAGCCCCACGGGGTCCAGAAGATAGGCTGGGGACAGGACACCCCTTCATTGCAGAACCTGTGAAGATGGCAGCGACAGCAGGATGAGGTGTGGAAGTGACTAAAATTCAAGTCAGAACTACAGACTTAGAGACTACGCTTTGGCACTCAAAAGTCAATCTTGTCTAAAAACACAAAGCAAACAGAAAACTGAAATTCAGCATTTTTTTCATGACATTAATATTTATACCGATACGTTTAACCTATGAAGGAGCTTCTGTTGTGGAGTGCAGTATGTCATGATTTATATGATGAAAACAATTTGAAAACGCTAAACATAATTTAATGACCGTTAAATCACTGTGATTTTTACCACAGAAATTAGTTAACACAACAGAATACATCTCTCATCTTCATGTATTTTGGAACTGGGTTTTCTCGAGACCTGGAATGTAAATGTTCCAGTCTCTAAGCCTACGTCCACACGTACCCGGGTATTTTTGAAAACGCAGATTTTTCTATGCGTTTGCACCTTTCGTCCACACGTAAACGGCGTTTTCGGTCACTGAAAATGGAGATTTTTAAAAACTCCGTTTTTGCTTTTACGTGTGGACGAGAAAAACGGAGAAAACGCAGCGTCAAAGATGTGCGCCTTTTTTTGACGTCACACTGTGCGCCACGTTATTGTTTCGGTGAAATGAATTTCTACAATACTGTTACTGTTAATTGTTCTCTCTGCAGTGTTTAAATGCTTACATATACACACACAGTTACTGTCCCTCCACACATACGACTCGTTCTGCTTCTATGCCCCAGCTTTGTTTACTTTTTCCCACCGAGGCTTCTAGACTTCTGATTGGCCAACATTTCTGCACGGTTAGGAATATAGCGCCACCTGTTGCTTTGGCATGTTCCTAGCAGCGTTTTCCTTCATTTCGGCCTTTACGTGTGGACGGGATTATTTTTTAAAACGGAAAATCTCCGTTTTCAAAAATACTCGTGTACGTGTGGACGTAGCCTAAAGCACTTTGAGTCAACTTCTGTTGTTTAAATGTGCTATAGGCTATAATAACACATTGTGACATTTTTCCTGGTACATGTTTGAGGTATATTTTTTTATTTTGAAAAAATAAAAATTTAACACAATTCATTGGGTAAAAAATACTGACCTTCGAGGATAGAAACAAAGTATCGATCCTATTGTGCTAGAATCAATCCGATGCCAGCGATTGAGTCGATACTATCAATTTTTGGATCAATCTGCCCACCTCTATTCATTGGCATACGTATAAAAGTCTGATAAGGCAAGTCAATGAAATACAACCAAATTCTAACTTCAACGCTGCGCCATGAGGAGAGCAAACGCCTGATCACAGCGAGGACTTAAGAGTCCACTGATGTACCCTGGCACCTGGCTGTGTGAAGCCTTGTAAATCACGAGTAATGAGGAGCATGAACTGTTGTCGCTGAGAAACAAAGAGAGAGGTACCTTTCATCCCTGCTAGGCCCGACACACACACGGCCACCATGGCGAGGTGAGGGGTTGTTACAAGAACGCTGGCGCAGCTCGAAGCCTGTACCGCAGGTTGTGCTACACTGTCCCCATGACGACCAGGGTGTCCAGCCTCCATTTCTATGAAAGAAAAATATTAGCAACAACAACTTCTCTATAATTATTCCCTGCTGCTTGTAGCATTATTCTTGTATATAACATTCTT